AAAAACCCTGTGTGCCGAAAACGATCAATCAGATCGCGACGGTTAGAGAGAAGTCCATAATTCTTGCGATCCGATTGATCGTTTTCGGCACACAGGGTTTTTCGGCACGTAGGGACGGACCTTACTCCATTAAGCTAACATCAAAAGCTATGCAACTACCTATAACCTGCCATATCAATGCATGCGACGCGCCTATGTTGGGCCCTTGAATCGTTGTAGTTGCGCCAAGCCACCTACTTCATACCGGCTTAACGAGTCTCAAGATTTCGCTCTTGAGCGGGCAATTTCATTGAAATTCTGCTAAAGCAGCCGTTGGGCCCGAGTACGTTATAAAAACAAGCGAATCCAAGTTTCTTCATAACGATTCGCTTGTAAGCCATACACGTGCATTACGAGGCATTTGATGGAACTACGGCAGTCAGCCTTTCTAAGAGCTGGCATGCTTCGTGTAATGCATCCGCTACATATGCAACCTGTGTGCACAAAATCAACATCTAAAGCAGAACAGAACATACTTTGACTTACATGATCGTCTGTAAACATAGTAAAATGATTGCCTGGGACGCGGATTATTCTCTTGAAAAAGTCCTGCTTGTATTCATCCCAGCCAAGGTGACTCTGTTGTGATTCCAGAAACGAATTTTCGGTCGCACGAATCAAGATTGTTGGCGGTGGTCCGATTGGAACCGCATTCAAACTGCCGTTACTCTCTTTTCCCACTTTCAGTTCTGACCAATCTGGACCGTGCCAGCTTGATAGCATCTCTACCGCTTGAACCATACATTTCTGAGCGTCCTGGCGATTATCTTTTGGTGTGTGTGTGGGGGGGGGGGGGGGGGGGGGGGGGGAATTCAAGGCAAAACTGTGAATCTCGACCAGGCGTGACCTCTGCTTAGGGTATATGCTATCAATCATGATCAGGCCTTTAACCTTCAAATCTCCCTGGTCTTGTAATACAAATGCCATCTCAAGAGCAATACATCCACCAAGAGACCAGCCTACAGCTGTGTTAATACAATTTACGTCAAATCTGGGTGGACTACAGAATTAGCATACCGCCTAGGATAACTTCTCCACTATGCAATACACTTTTCATGAACATAACATATTCCTTAGCCATCTCCGGTAGCCCTCCCGTCCAGTTTTGATGACTTTTGAATCTAGGATTAGAGATGCCCCATACGTTGCGTTCTAGTTCGTTCAGAAGAAAATATGGATAGACTGTGCCGCCTCCGTCATGGACGAGAAATAGAGGGGTCTTTGTTGTTGGGCCTTCCTGAATCAGAACGGGATTATCCATAGCAGAAATCTTTCTGCGAGATACTGTCCGGGTGTGGAGGGTGTTGCAGCTACAAGTCCTACGACGGTGGATGGGGCGTTGGGTGTCGAATCTCTCGTGTTATCGCGGGTGGAGTAGTTACTGTTACGGGGAGCTATAATGGCACGACGAAGAGATTTTAAAACTTCATTTCTTGCTTATCCTTCTGCTACCTACGAAAGTACTGCTCTTATAGTTGGGATGGCTGGATCATAGTGTCAGCACAAGGCTCACACGTGACCCTGTGCACCGGCACAATACCAAAATGTAGTACAAACTAACTAACTAACGTATGTCACTGTATGCCGAAAAACACAGTGTGCCGAAAATAACCAATCGGATAGCAAGGAGCGTAGAGAATTCCATGATCCTTGCGATCTAATTGGTTATTTTCGGCACACCGTGTTTTTCGGTACATAGGGACGGACGTTACTTTGCCGATGGAAAAAAAAGGCCTTTTCGCTCCAGGATCGAGTAAGAACACAATATTTTTAGCTGCAACTCATACAACGGCTGATACATATTCAGAGATGTTGCTACGCTAAATACTCAAGGGCTAACTTACACATCCGACCGGATAGAGTTCGGATCGCGATTCTGGGGGCACCTAGATTGATCAGGCACACCAACTTCGAGTTTTTCAGAATAGGTGTAATTTTAGCGAATTATATACAAATCCATCCCAAGAAATCGATTACAACTAGTGCCAACTCGTGCAGCCCACGCGCTATAGAGCTAGAAGCTGGTAAAGTAGCTAATCTGAACACGTCTCACTCACGAAAACAAAAACACACAGACCATCTAGTTGCTTACTAAGAAAAGAGCTTAGTAATAAAATGCCGCCAGACAGTGATACTATTGTAGTAAATACTCAAGAAAACAGACAGGAGAGCCTAGGGCCAGAGGCCCAAACTGATAGAGAAATGGAGATAGAGTCTACTCCAGCTACACCTACTCAAAACCAACAAACACCTAGCGTGTTTGAAATACCAATACTACCACCAAACAAACGATACGCCAACTTCTCACCAGAGAATACCTATAGAGGTAGAAATCCATACCAGAATACCTCTAGCCTAAAACCAATCGCCAAGAACTCTGAACAGGCAATCTATTGGGCTAGAGATCTAATCCTTCAAGCCTCCAA